CACCTACTTAGAACAAGCTTGGCAAAGCATCAGGGACCGCGGTTCAATCCCCCAGCACCACATGCCAGCCAGCCCCGCCCCCTGGTGGGCTGAGCTGGCCTCTCTCTCTCTCTCTCTCTCTCTCTCTCTCTCTCTCTCTCTCTCAAATAAATAAAAAAAAAAGAAAGAAATAGCAATGAGACAGTTTCAAAACAGGTTAGTAGGATAGTTATAATAATTAATTCATTGCACATTGTTGTCTTCAGAGTAGTTACTCATAGTACAAGATGCAGACATTATCTCTTGTCTAAACAATATTAGTATAAATCTCTTCTCATTGAACTAAGAGAAAGTAGCTGTATATCTATCCTAACTACTTTATATATCCATATATATTTTTTTCACTACAAAATGGTCTTTCTTTTATATCCCTTTTTTGGGGTTTTGTTTTGTCAGAGATGGGTGTTCCACTGCCGTTAGCTGTATTTGGAGAAGTCTTTAAAGGACCATCCCTAATAAATTGAAGAGGTAAGGGCTTGCAACTGACAAAAACACCCAATGAACTTCATGATCACAAGCAAACACTGGAAAATGTTCTGAAGGAATGGTCTCAACTCAACAATCAAAAGAAACGGACTGGTGGAATGGATCAAGAAGCAAAACCCAACAATATACTACATACAAGAAATGCATTTAATTCAAAACGAAATTCATGAACTGAAAGACAAAGGATGGAAAACAATACTACACACAAGGAAACCTGCAAAAAGGCAGGGGTAGCTAATCTATTTTCAGACAAAGTAGATTTCAAGCCAAGATTGATTAAAAGAGACAAAAAAAATCACTACATCCTTGGTAAGGGAACAATCCAAGGGAAAGTGATAACAATCACACCTATATATGCACCAAATACAGGTGCCCCCAACTATATAAAACAAATATTAACAGACATGAAAAATCAAAAAGCACTAATACAATTATAAAGGAAGAACTCAATACCCCACTGTCACAAATAGGCAGATCAACTAGATAAAAAAAAAATCAATTAAGATATCAGTACTGCACCAAACTCTTCAACAAATGGGATTAGTAGATGTACACAAACTATTCCAACTGACAATATCCAAATACCTATATTTTTAGCTGCACATGGGATAGTCTCCAAAATAGACCACATACTAACTCATAGAACATGTTTAAGTAAATGCAAAAGAATTGAAATTATCCCATGCATATTATCAGACCGTAGTGCAATGAAATTTGAAATCAATGGCAAGAGAAACCACAAAAACTTTATAAACACATGGAAGTTAAATAACACAGAAGGAATTAAAGAGAAGTTAGACAGTTTTATAGAAACTATAAATTATAGGTTAAACAATGATACTAATACAACATACTGGAACTTATGGGATTAATGAAAGCAGTCCTATGAGAGAAATTTACAGCAGTGAATTCCCTTATCAGAGAGTGATCTCAAATAACCTAATGTTGAGCCTCAAGCTTTTGTAAAAGGATTTTTCTTTTTCTGGCTAGATCAGGCTGCCTTAAGGGCAGGTCTAGTAAGGCATGGGGAGTTTGGGATTGAACTGTGGTCCAATACACCTGACTGGGTTTGCCCCAGCAGGAGCTTAACAACTGAACTAACCCATAAGACCCCTAGCTTCTGAAAAAGAAGAGCAAGTCAAGCCCAAAGCTCATATGAGATAGAAAATTATAAAGATCAAAGCAGAAATTAATGCAATAGAGACTAAGAAAACAATACAAAGAATCAATAGATCAGAGTTGGTTCTTTGGAAGATTAAATAAAAGCAACAAACCCTTAGCCAAACTTATCAAAAAAAGAAGAGTCAGATCCATGCAATTAGAACTAAATGGGGTAAAATCATAACAGACTTGGTTGAAATCCAAAAGATCACTAATATCTACTATAAAAATGTGTATTCTAATAAGATAGAAACCACACAAAAAATGACAGATTTCCACATATGTAGGAATTAACAAAGCTAAATCAAAAAGACATAAAAATTCTAAAAAAAAAAAAAAAAATGAAGTTGAAGATGCAATTAAAAACCTTCCAACAAATGAAAACCTAAGTGGATTCACTCCTGAATTCTATAAGAAATTTAGAGAAAACCTAAGGCCACTACTTCTCAAACTCTTTAATGAAATTGAAAGGGAAGCCATACTCCCAAATTAATTCCTACAGGCAAGCATTACACTGATAGCAAAACAAGAGAAGAATCCAACCAAAAGAGAGAGCTATAGGCCAGTCTCCCTAATGAATACAGATGCAAAAATCCTCAATAAAATACTGTGTCAAACAGAATGAGGCAAATCATCAAAGTTGTACACTTTTACCGAGTAGGAACTATCCCAGGGATGTAGGGATGGTTCAACAGATCAACAAATGTAATACACGGTATTAACAGAGCCAAGGACAAAAACCATATGATCATCTCAATAGATGCAGAAAAAGCTTCTGCCAAAGTCCAACATGCACTGATGATAGAAACCTTCCAGAAAAATGAAACAGATGCTCTTTATCTCAATCTGATAAAAACCATCTATGACAAACCAACAGCCAGCATCATACTAAATGGACAAAACCTGAAAGCTTTTTCTCTAAAATGAATAACAAGATAAGCATGTCCACTATTACCACTCTTACTCAGTGTAGCTCTGGAAACACTGGCCAGAGCAATTAGGCAAGAGTGAAAGGAATAAGGATAGGAAAGGAAGAAGTTATATTGTCATTATTTGCAGATGACGAGATACTCTACATAGAAGACCCCAAAAACTCCACCAAAAGACTTCTAGATTTAGTAAACAAATTCAGTAGTGCACCTAGAAACAAAATCCACACTAAAAAATTAATAGCATTCCTGCACACAAATAATAAACTCACTGAGAGAGAACTTAGGGAAATAATACCTTTCACAGTAGCAATAAAAAAAAATTGAAATACCTAGGAATAAATCTAACAAAGTAAGTAAAAGATCTTTACATTTAAAACTATAGGGCTAGCCAGATAACTCAGTGGATTAAGGCACATGCTTAGGCAGGGGCAGGGATGGGGTTCCACCCCCGGCATGCCCTGCAGGCCCCGCCCAGGGGACATGCTGAGATGACAACTGAGACTGGGCATGGTGGCACTTACCTGTAATCTCAGCGCTTGGGAGGCTGAAAACAGAAGGATCACTATGAGTTCGATCTGTGTAGTGAGACCCTGTAGACCCTGTACTAAAACACACAAAAAAGAAAACGATAGTACTATGAAAAAAAGAGATTGAAGAGGATATTAGAAAATGAAAAGATACTATTTGCTGTTGGGTAGGAAATGGCCATACTTTCATCACAGATTTGATGCAATTCCAATCAAAATACCAACATCATATCTCAAAGAATTAGAAAACAAATTGTAAAATTCATTTGGCACCAGAATCAATTCTGGGCAGCAAAGGCAAGTTTAGAATTATACTAGACTAGACTAGAATTATACTACAAAGTATAATTCTGATACTACGAAGCTATACTGTGATATAAAAAGCATGGTGCAGTCAAACACATAAACACACACACACACACACACACACACACACGCATGCACAAAACAGACCTGAGGATCAGTGGAACAAATTAGAAGATGTAGAAGAAACAACAGCAGATACGAGATATAAGCACACTCAGAGGCAAACACCTTCACTGAAAAAAGACAGCCTCTTTAATAAATGGTGCTGGAAAAACTGACTTTACACATGGCAATGATGAAAACTAGACCCATACCTTTCACATGCACTAAACTGAAATCAAAATGGATTAAAAAATATAAATATTGAAATATAAACAGTAACTCTGCTGGAAGATAGAATAGGTAGAACTCTTAAAAACGTTGGTATATACAAAGGCTTTATAAACAAAACCCTGATAGAACAGGAAATATCACAAAGAATCGAAGACTGGGATCTTATCTTTGCAAAAACAGCAAAGGAAACCACCAATAGAGTGAAAAGACAACCCACAGAGTGGGAAAAAATTTTGCCAACTGTTCCCCAAAGGACTAATATCTAAAACACATTAAAAACTCAAACAAATCAGACTCTGCAAATGTAGATCCAATCCAAAAATGCTCATATGAAATGAATAGACACTTCTCAGATAAAAAAGTAGAAACAGCCAATAAATATATGCAAAAAATGTTGAACATCATTGATCATTCAAGAGATGCAAATTAAAACAATGCTGAGATTTCATCTCACTCCAGGACGCATGGCTATTCTCAAGGACTCAGTCCACAACAAGTGTTGGTATGGATGTGCTGAACAAGAAACCCTGCTCCACTGCTGGTGGGAGTGCAGACTGGTGCAGCCTCTGTGGAAAGCGGTGAGTACTCAGAAAAACAGGATAGGAGGTCCTATCCCACTCAGCTATTCCCCCAAGTATCTTCCCAGAAGAATTAAAAACATCATACCACAGTGAGGTATATACACCCATGTTCATAGTGGCCCACCAGTTTGAGACAGCCCAAATGCCCATCAACCAATCAATGGGTAAAAAAGAGTAAGTATTTTTATATAATAGAATACTAGGCTGTCATAAAGAAGCATAAGCTTGAGACATATCTAGCTAGTTAGATGCAGTTGGAGATCATACTCTTAAGTGAAATAAATCCGGGGACCTGCTGGTTAGCTCAGTTGTTTAAGCACCTGTTCATGCAAATGCAGTCAGGCACAGGATACTGTGGTTTGATTCTCCACCTCCACCTGCCTTAGCAGACCCGCTCTTAAGGCAGACTGAGCCAGCCAAAAAAAAAAAAAAAA